CTTGGAAGATATTTGGCACAGCAGTGACATCCCACCACTACTTTAAGTGCATGCACAGCATAAATCCAGGGACCATAAGTTTGGAGCAAAGTCACGACTCACAACCAATCTTACTATCAATCTGGTGAACCAGTGTTCAAGGAATTATGATGTTTGCAAGACAATTTCATCAGAAACAACCCTTGAAGGTTTTCAAGCCTAAAAAATTTAATTATTCAGCCCAGTTTGTACCTGCCTGAGTTTGATTTATGCATGCTTCAGGTTCAGTGCAGAAATGCCACTAAGCATTGAGCCCAAGGAATGTAGTTTTGAAACCTTGTTGTGCTGAGTTGTCAATCTTCAGTATACTAGGTCAGGCACTGGTTAAAGGATGTCATTGAGAAAACATTTTTAATGTTGATAACACTTAGTGCTTTAAACTTGGCTTATGATCATAAGTTCATCAGTACCATGACATACAGCAAGTGCTGTGATGTTTAGTTACTCTGAAGGAGGTGGGGTGTATTCAAACAAATGCAAACTTTGGGCTTAAAAGCAGGTGACCACAATTGTTAATGTCTATGCATGTTTTATGTCTGGATCTTTAACATGCATATTTCTAACAACCTCCTGTTTGACTCACCTTAGTTCAACCATTGTGAGACCAATGCAGGTAGCTTCAACATGCTGTTTTCTCATGCTATGCTCTGTTACTGTTTGGTGGAAATCATTGTGCTCCTCCATGATTTTATACATTCTTGGTTGTTCTGCTGGAATTTGTTAATAAATTTGGTGTCAAATGTCTGGAGGACAGAGGAGTCCACAAGTTGGAGGCCAGATGTCAAGCCAACCAAGTGAGATATGATACCCCCCAACATGTCACAGTGGCTTAATGTAAGCCAAAATAGCCCTCAACATGTAACATTGGCATAATGTAAGTCTAAATTTACTTATCGATCCTTGATATTATGGAGAAAACAACTGTGTGAGCTTGAATTGACATGCATGGCTTGGTCCCTCCTACTCTCAGGATTGTGGAGAAAACAACTGTGTGAGCTTGAATTGACATGCATGGCTTGGTCCCTCCTACTCTCAGGATTGTGCACTGCTGGGACCCAGGCTTCCACCATTAATAATAACAAAGTTATAGTGATGTGTGATGCAAAGTGGTATAACTGAAAATCGATTTGGACTCACCTCCTTCTTCTCATTTTTGCACTTACTGGCTGGTGCATCTGCATTCTGGTGGCTTGTGCACCTATTTGATCATAATATTAGGAATGTAGGAAGTGGGACTGTGCTATTAGGATATTATGATTGTAATATTAGGAATGTGCTAGGGAATGATTGTATGGTAGCATACCAGGGATCAAAAGCTTTATGGGACATATGCTAGGCAGGGCTAAATGAATCTGATCTAGATGGGGCTAAAGCAACATAACTTTGTATCAGAAGCTTGTCAGCCAGCAAACACCAAACACAGCTGGCTGCTAAGATAAGATGATGAAGGTTGCACTCTTGTGAGTTTGCATATATTTTAATGTCTGTTTTTGTCTGTTGGTATAGCACATACATGTGTACTTCAAGTCACATTTTTCACCTTATATCATGGTTATAATTCTTATTGTGTTGTTTGTGCATTTTAAGGTACGTTCCTCAGACTTAACAGTTGTCCAACCCTGCAGGATGTGTAACCAGTATGTCAACTGTAAATTAAAGATCACAATCATAACTAACCTTGGATTAAAAAAAAATATCTTGCATTTAGCTGAAGCTGTATAATTGAATGACCATCCAGAACCAATAAATCTCAGCCAACTGCACTCTGTGGCAGGGAAATTTCCCAAGGTAGACAGCACTTTGGGAATGTTACCTGCTCTTTCTTCTTCTTTGCAAATCAGGATTTAGGGGGATCAGGGTAGCCTTTATTTGATTTCAACTTATTGAAAAGGAACTGAATTAATAGCTCTCACCACACACCCAAAGGCAAAACCGTTTCCAGGTCCCCATCTTCCACCACACACCAAAGAGTAAAACAGATTCTGGGACCCAGCATTAGTCATTAGTTGCAAAGTCTAATTTCTTGACATCACAATGCACACCTTATCACTTCCTTGATCTACCATATAGACATACGAGTTTGGGCGGCTGATTTGACTTCATGTTTTGATCCTACAGCAGTGATGCATAGAACAAGTCAGTGACACTATGTTATTGGTATCCTTGGGTTGATGTATTACACACTACATTATTGTTATCTTTGGGTGGATGCATCATATATCAAAGTGCGCGGGTTCGTCTTTTTGCTCTATGAAACCAGGCCTTGTTAGCCGGTTTTTAGCTGGTAACCGCCGCTACCGGGCCGGCTAGCCGTGACACGAACATCGGTAGGCCACAACTAACATTGGGTTGAGGATACAGGCCAGGGGCAAGAAGACAACACATAGGACACATGTGAATGATAGCATGGTGATGCTCTTCATTTTATGGCGCTCATTGCCGAACATACACTTGCACGGTTTGCCTTAGTTGTGTGGAGACCTCCAGGTGTCCTTAGATTTACATGTTAGCCCAGGTGCGGCAGGATCTCTCCTTCTTTATATCACACCCATGTAAAATGAATATCCACGCTGCTCTTCGTTTTGACGTTTTGAACCAATCCAAGCGCCTGCTATGCCATACATAGACCAACAAGTATGGCCAACCATGTCCCACGATGCCATTAGGACACTTACATTGGGGCATTGACCTTACATCGTGTGGCATAATCGTTCCTTTTTGTCGAGTCCGAGGTGCATTCACACAAATCACAGCCCATCGGAGAGCTGGTTTATTGCGTTCTCGAAGCAAAAGAAGACTTTGTCAAAAGACCCATTGAAGGATGCGCAAATGACCGGGAAAAGACGAGCTAGCTCGTCCAGATGCCTCCAGTTTTGGGTCCATGCAGTGATTTGCTACAAGGCAACCGAGTGAAAATAAGATAACGCAGTTTGTGCGGCTTTTTCTAAGTGTAGGTATTAAAACACAAGTGAGGCATTTCGTGGAAAACGCAAGCACGCTTCTTCCTTGTCCCCATAAATGCCTTGTGGAAGGGCAATTCGGCCTGTTCCGTGGTAGTGCTAATAACTAATAACTGATTGTGACATCTGGCCGTACGCCACCTAATGTCTGGCCGCACGCCACCTGACATCTGGTCGTACGCCACGCGACGTTTGGCCACACGCCACGTAACGCCTGGCCGCACGCCACCTGACGTCTGGCCGCACGCTTCCTGACGTCTGGCCGCACGCCACCTGACGTCTGGCCGCACGCCACCTGACGTCTGGCCGCACGCTTCCTGACGTCTGGCCGCACGCCACCTGACGTCTGGCCGCCGCCGCCTCCACAGCAGCAGGCCCCTCGCCGGCCGCCGCCATGACGAGCAACCTGCCGGCCTCGGCGACTGGCGGCGTGCAGCCAATGTCCATCGAGGGCCGCTGCAAGAACGTGCGCGAGCGGCTCATCAAGATGTCGGCTGAGGACCGAAAGTGGCGCGCCCAGTGGCTGCGCGACCAGCATCTGGGGCCCATGGAGCCAAGGTACGTACGCTGGGCCGACACAGCTGGCCGGCTGGCGCGTGCTCACGCAGCTGATGTGCGGGGCGGACGGGAGGCGGGTGTTTTTTTCCGTGTGTAGAAGTTTGTGCGGATGATATAAAGAATGTTTCGATGCTGTTTGGACATCACCTGAATCAGTGGACTATGTATCTTCCTCAGGTACATCCCAGAGTACTTCAATGAGATTACGAATCCCATTCGGCGTCTCTACAAGTGGCCTCTGAACACCCTGTTTGAGAAACTTCAGCCTGCGATGGTAGGTGGAGCATGACGTTACTTGTTCAGTTTGCATACGTAGAGTGTAGAAATGTTACCACAACAATGATAAGTTACCTTGACAAATTTCGACCGTGTATCTGCAGGGCGGCGATAACACACGCCACGTACAAAAACATGATCGTGCACCGTCGCCGGACCTTGTCATTTTACTAACGCGAAGGTGATGCTGGCTAACCGGACGTGGTGTGTGTGTGTGACAGGGGGTCAGAGGCGCCTTCATGGCCCGATGGTACACGGGCAAGATGCTCATGTTCGTCGGAGCCATCTACATCGGCCACTACTATTTCAAATACAACAGAAACGTGAGTCAGCCGTTGTGCTTGGGGCCCGTTCCGAAGCGTGAGTCGCACTCTGTTTTATTGGCGCATTGACACCAGATGGTTGGCCGAGAGAGGCTCGTGGCAAGGCAGATTTCAGCTGGATCGTGTACGGGTCGTAGAACCTTAACTGTAATTGAACATCTCCAGCGACAGACGACTTGAAACGTGTGCCCATTTGTGTTTTGTGTTCTGTCCCTCCCTGTGTCCGAATAGTTGTTGTTCCCCTGTAGTTTCCAGACGAACATTGCTATCGAAAGGCGCAGCTGCCGAATATCTCATCCGGGTCATCGCCTCCTCTCCATGCAGCCTTCACTGCCCTGGGTGTGCTGAGGTGCACGTCATTCGATCCAAATCCTATCGACTACGATAGGCCCTGGCGACCTGAAACATGCCGTGCCGTCTGGCGATCGTCTGCCGTCGTGCTGGCCATCGGCGCCGCCGTGTTGACCTCTGTCGACGTGTGACGTCGCCCGGTGATGCACTGGGCGAGCGCCAGGCGCCAGCGGTGCCGCCTGGCGGCGGGGCACGTGTGGGCCTTCGGTCGCTCTGACAGACGTGGGCGTCGGCCGACCGGCAGGACTGGACGCGCCGTGGCGGCTGGGGGGTGAATGTATCGAGGCAGTCCGTGCTGCCCGGCGAGGAGGACTACCCCAACACAGGCGACCGGCACCACCACTGGGACTACTACGACCGCGGCTTCAAGGACCGCACCGTTTACAAGGGCGGACTGTACTGAACCAGACGCCGGTGTAGCGCGTTCTCATGTGCCGGTACGTGCAGTGTGCGTGTAAATATAGTCGGTGTGGACGGGTACGGGTATTTTTGCTCAGCTCTTGGACTGATCTGAACGGTGGAGAAATTGTGACAGCCCTTCTGAATGAACATCCTGTTTCGCCAACCGATACCTGCTATCCACGAAGGTGTATTTTTACACTTACCATACACTTCCCGCAACGCCTTATCCAGACAAGCACAGGACGTATCTCTTTATTTTGCATTCTCTTGGGTACCCCCATGCGAAAGCACTAGTACAAAACGCGGCAAAAGGCATGACTGCATGCAAAAGTTGCAAAACAAGCATGCCTTTCGGCAATAATTCACCCAGACGGCTGGACCCTGCCCGGCGCGGCCGACGGAGCGCTCGCCGGGGCTCCGCCGCCGGCCACCGGACGGCGCCGCGTCGCTCGGCAGACCCCAGCTCAGCAGGCGGCCGGGCCGCGGCCCCGGCCCGGGCCGCGCGCCACCTTGCGGCGCTGGTTCGGCTGGCCGAGCGGGCCCTGGTTGCCGGTGAGCGCCGGCGTCCAGGCGCGCAGGCCGCTCTCGGTCGGGAACACGTCGAGCAGGTGATGCGGGCCCCGCACCAGCGTGTTGACGCCGGCCAGCGCAGCGGCCGCCACGCCCGTCAGCAGGTACAGCTCCCGACGCTCCGGGTCGAAGCCGCGCACCAGGCCTGCCGCGTCAGGCACGTGACTTCACTACCAGCATGCTGCACGAGTTGAGGCGCGGGGCGGGGCAGAAGTCATGGCCCTTGCGTCCGAGGGGTGAATCCAAATGGGCTTGGGCAAGGGGTAGCTTATTGACAAATGCATGTGGAATGGACTCCCAACACCGCAGGCCATCTACGCCCGGATCAGATGTGACATATGCATGCGGTCTAAATATGAGACGCCGATTTGAGGGACGAAGGTGGTCTTTTCTACACACAAGCATACCATTTCACGCAGAGATTGGAGGTGGTCAGCCCAGGTAAGACAGCCAGGTCGAAGGCAGGCTACATCAAAAGACAAGAACAATACAGACGACGCGGCTGGTGCTTTAGCACTTGATTGACATGTTGGTGACGAGCTTACACGGCGTTCGTCATGCGACAGCGTGGCTAGCATAGTTAGGGGCTTCCTATTTTCGCAGCAAGTCACGGCACACAGTTATTGCAGAGGCCAGCGCACAAAAGCACACGGCCCGCTCCCGAGGCACTGCACTGCCCGGCTCGGACCTGGGCACACAGCAGTCCTCCTAACGGCGGCGTCGGCGGTCAGCCGGGCCCGGGCCCGGGCCGCAGCCGGGCCCCGGCCGTCGCCAGCGTCGCACACGCACCGAACCCGAGGCAGTCGGGCCGCCGGTGGCCGGGCGGCAGCAGGCAGAAGAGGGAGCCGTCGTCAGGCCGCCGCCACGTGTCAGGCTCGGTCCGGCACAACGCCACCACCGTACCATTGATGGCGTGCATCACGTGCTGCGGCAGCAGCCGCTCCGTGGCCACGTGCACGGCCAGCGAGGACCACGACACACTGTCGGGGTAAGGTACTGGTGACGACCATGACATGCTGTCGAGGTAAGGTACCACTGACGACCATGGCACACTGTCGGCGTAAGGCACACGTGCCAACCCTAACACGTTGCTGGGGCAAGGTACCGTTGACGACCATGACACGCCGTCGGGGAAAGGTACCATTGACGACCATGACGTACTGTCGGAGCAAGGTACCAGTGACGACCATGACACACTGTAGGGGTAAGGTACCAGTGACGACCATGACACACTGTCGGGGTAAGGTACCAGTGACGACCATGACACACTGTCGGGGCAAGGTACCGGTAACGACCATGACGCACTGTCGGGGTGAGGTACCAGTGACGACCATGACACGCCGTCGGGGAAAGGTACCATTGACGACCATGACACACTGTCGGAGCAAGGTACCAGTGACGACCATGACACACTGTAGGGGTAAGGCACACGTGACGACCATGACACACTGTAGGGGTAAGGCACACGTGACGACCATGACACACTGTAGGGGTAAGGTACCAGTGACGACCATGGCACACTGTAGGGGAAAGGTACCAGTGACGACCATGCCACTGTCGGGGTGAGGTACCAGTGACGACCATGATACACTGTCGGGGCAAGGTACCGGTAACGACCATGTTACACTGTCGGGGTGAGGTACCAGTGACGACCATGATACGCTGTCGGGGCAAGGTACCAGTGACGACCATGACACACTGTCGGGGTAAGACATGTGTACACTTGATGACAAGTACGCGTTGTCTGGAAGGTGTTGATGCGTCCTGGGTCACGCGTGTCGAACGGTCACAAGGTGAGCGTGGGTGTGGGAAAAATAACAAACATGACCAACAGAAGCAATCCACGTGCTAATGCAAACATAACTCAATAAGCGATATCCAGCCGTCTGCGGCGATGGCAGGGAAGATTAAACGCATGTGTTATCCAGCGCGCGGTTACGTGAGACCGTAGGCTGCGGGCGAACGTCATCTACAGGGACGGAAACGAACCGTTAGTGCGTCAGAATAGCACGGCACGATACCTCGGGAGATGGTTACGGCAAAGAAAGTCGTACGCATATTCAGTACAGATATATCAACTGCTACGTAGACTGGCTACTCTGCGCACTGCCGCAGCTAAATAAGCCGTACTGTTCTGCGCTTGCCAATGTTGGCACATTCCTTGTAGCTTTGATAGCATTCATTGCGATCGATGACATTTTGGAATTAGGAGCATTGTTTAACGACGGAATAATATATAAACTCTGACGTGAACATTATATCATATTATGTGCGCAAGACGTGTAACCAGACCAAATAGCGGTAAAAACAGCATGAGTATCAGGAATCACCAGGGTATTACATAGGAAAGAAAGCGAAGGTGTGGGTGAATAATGGAACGAAATGTGGGTAGGCGGTATGCTGTAGACGCCAGACATGCATATAACGCACGGCGATTCCAACTACATGTCACTCCCAGTGTGTGTGACAAACGGAGACCACACAACAGGACATACAAGGAATACAATAGGTGCTAGTGACGACCCGCGGTTAGGCTCAAGGCAGCATTGATGGCGACTAAGGCACGTTGCATGGGGAGCAGCGGTGTGCGATACCATAAAACTACAACGCTATGTCTGAGTGACTAAAACGGCTCACGTTGTTCCAGCCTACTTCAGGGAGACCGTTAAGAACAACTGCCACGAAAGGCAAAGGAATGCTCGAAACCGTCAAAAAGGCCCGGATGCCGTTACTGCCGCCCACAGACACACACCAGGTAGGCGCTCGGAGCGATGCGTCAGCGCGGGTCCGTACCACATGGGGATGAGTTGGCACAGTTTCCTGTCGGGCTGCTCCAGCGCAGCCACGAAGGCGGTTGTGTTCAGCTGCCGGTACATCCAGGGCGCCAGCCTGCCGGACAGCGTCACAGGCAGCCCATTGTCACCTCAGCGCACCGAGTGGCGGCGCGCCGATAAAACAGGCTTACATGATTGTTGTTGTACACACTGACATACACTGTCGATATAAATCATAACAGACATACATTGTTGCTGACGACTGGGTGGCCATGCTCGGACGAACGCATGGCGAATCAATGACAACATTAGGAAGTGCGCACCCGCAGGCGTTGGACTTACCGGGCCAGGGGCTGTCAGCGGGCGCACCCCTAGAGAGCCCCATTCTTGATTAGACATTGCGCCGATAAGTATGTGAACGAGAAGAGGGCCATGCCATGACCAACCTCCCTCAAAACTTTGCTCTACTGGCGTTACCCAGAGTGCAGCGGAGGAGTTAGAGGAGTTCGTGCAGTCACCCGCGGAGGTGGAGCTGGGAACACGGCGGCCACGATGGCGATGTGACTGGCCTTCTCACCCAGTCCATGGACCTTACCCTAGTCCCTCGGCCTCGCTTCACCGCCCACACGCACAAACACAGCGCAACTTCACCGCCCGCACGCCGGACCGCCGGCTCTCGGATGATGACGGTTTGGGCTGAAGGGCGCACCGACTAGAACGGCAGCCTTAAAGCACATCAGTTTTAGAGCTTTGCAAAACTGGTCCAGTGATTTCATCCGGCTACCATCGGGAGCAATCCCCAGTTGCCTATCACTGGGGCTATTATCGGACGCAATCTCCAGTCGCATCCGATGATGAGGTATACTAATGCTACTGCTGATAACCGCGAACTCGCGGCATTATGCATAGTAAAACTTAACTTGTAGGCGGGCTGTATGGTGCGGGTGTGTGGGCATGCATGTACAACGGTAAAAAACGCACAACACAAAGAAGAGGCAAACCACCACGGTGGCGGCCGCGGTACGTCCTGATCTGCACACGACTGCACCCGCATGCGCCTCCCAGTGAGCAAGAGCACAGCGCCAGGACATTCCGTGCCGCATCACCCGTCCCAGCCTCCCTCTCACCGTCCATGTCTGCTTCCTGGCCCGCCTGATCCCCCCTCTCACCGTCCATGTCTGCTTCCTGGCCCGCCTGATCCTCCCTCTCACCGTCCATGTCTGCACTCTCACCCACCTGAACATCTCGTCAGGCCTGTCTGCCTCTCCACCAGCCTCACCTCCCTCTCATCATGCCTGTCTGCCCCCTACCGGCCACCCCCCTACTCTCACCGTGCCTGTCTGCCTTCTCACCTGCCTTCCCTCCCTCTCACCGTGCCTGTCTGCCTCCTCGCCCGCCTCCCCTCCCCCTAAATCTCACTGTTTGCGTTCTCACCCGCCGTCTGCGCCGTGCTGTCGGCCGGCGCCGGCCGTCGGGCAGAGTGAGGTGAGCCGCCGGTGCCAGTGGCTAACGGCCGGCCGGGCCGGCCAGCCAGCCGTGTAGCGCGACAGCAGCCAGCTGCGGCCGGCGGCGTTCACACGCGCCGCCGTCAGCGGCTGGCTGAAGTTGACGTGTTCCTGGCGCGGGTGCACGATCTCCAGCACGTCCGTCGGCAGCACATGGCCGAATATCTCGAACAACAGGTCCTCCCCGAGGCCTACGGACACAGGCGGCTTGTCGTCAGGGCTCCGCGCCCGGGGCGCTGAGGCGGACAAGGACGTGCGTCGGAGCCCGGCACCGGGCGCTGAGGAGGACACGGACGTGCGTCAGACTCGGCGCTTGGGACGCTGGGGCGGACACGGACGTGGGTCAGAGTTCGACACCCGGGGCGCTGAGGAGGACACGGACGTAAGTCAGGGCTCGGCGCCCGGGGCGGCGAGGCGGACATGGACGTGAGTCAGGGCTCGACACCCGGGGCGCTGAGGAAGACATGGACGTGCGTCAGACTCGGCGTTTGGGGCGCTGAGGCGGACATGGGCGTGGGTCAGGGCTCGACACCCGGGATGCTGAGGACACAGACGTAGGTCAGGCTGGGCGCTCGGGACACTGAGGCCACGGACGTGGGTCAAAGTGGAGCGGCGCCGCGTCGCCTGACTATAGGTCGCTTAAGCGTGAGTGTAGATGCGCATTCGACTGCTGCAGCGACCGCCAGATCGCAGGGATAACGCGGCTGGATTTGAACTGACAGCTGCTGCTTCACCCATGATATTTAACCAGCGGCAATTAAACACTTTCCCGCATTGTCTCCCTGCCGTTTTGTAACCCCGCCTCAACTGCAACATACTTCAAGGCCATTGAATCAGCCGTCCTTCAAAGATAAAATGCGGAATAAGCGCGAAGGAAAGTAGACACAAATCTTGCAGTGCGCAGTTATCACATGCTTCTTTTGGGAGCGCCGCAGAAAAACTATCAGGGTTGCGTTCCATACCGCGCGCTATTATCTATCACATAAGCTAATGAGCAAGAACGAAGGCTTGTCTGAATTCATCTGTGTGAAGTAGCACACTAAGATAATCATAATTCGAATCCACATTTAGCGCCTGGAATACACCGTTCTTCAACACCTTATGGTGTTGCATATTATAGAAGCAAGTGAGAATTCCGCAAGACGTGATCTCGCCGGAACACCTCAGTATTACGCCTTACGTATTATCTTAGCGATAAAAGGACAACATCGCTTTGGCTCATTGAGGCCAAGGGAACAAAAGCTTTCCATAAACATTTTACCCACGATTGAAAAATGCAAGCCATTGAATAACATGATGGCTAGTGGAAATCACGCCACGTGGCAAAAATATGAAAACCTCTGACGTGGTGTGACGGGAGATTTGTCATAACTGGTGGAAATCACGCCACGTGGCCAAAATATGTGAACCTCTGACATGATGTGACGGGAAATTTGTCATAACTGGTGGAATTTAGGCCACGTGGCCAAAATATGTGAACCTCTGACGTGATGTGACAGGAGATTTGCCGTAACTGGTGGAAATCGCGCCGCGCGACCAAAATATGAGAACCTATGGAGCGCTGCAACAGGAGATTCGTCGTGTCTTCCAACCAAAACAAAACTTTCGGCAAGCAGTAGTGAGATCATACACCACTGATACAAGCGAATCAGTGCCGTTTTCACCAGCCGCACCGGCGGCAGCCATAATTTGCCGGCCGTTGATCGCGCGAGGTGCGGACGACAGACCACTTCACCTGTGGCCACTAACAATCGCCGGCGGCCACCACAGTTGTGCTGCGGACATCGATTTTCCGGCGGGGGCGGCGGCGCCGGCGCAGCCTGCTATAAAGTCGGCCGGCGGCGGCGGTGTCAACCTCAGTAGTGATCGCGTCGCCGCCGCCTATCTTTCACCATGCCCTGCGACAAGTGCTGCGACGGTGAGTGGCCCGCACCCCCCCCCCCCCCCCCCCCACGGACCCCAGTGACAAGCCGGTCACTGGGTCCCGGCGACACCACGCCGTCAGTGATGGCGTGCGTCGGGAGGCTGGGCTGTTTGAGCGTGGACCGCAAGATCACAAGTGTTTGTTTCGTCCACTTCTTTTAAAAGGTGCTGTGTAATCAGATGTGTTCGGATATACGCACGTCCATGTCTCGGGATAATGTGTCAGCCCAAGTATCTCTATTATTTTCGGCCGGCACGCCCAACTTCGATCTCGTTAAGCCACGCACCCATCAAGTGCGCAGTAGCTCCGCACAGCCGACAGTAGGAAGCGCTCGCTGCGCATAAATCGCATCAAATCGATGAAAAAGGACCCTCATTAGAGGGATCCGCACGTCCTAACCGTTTTTATCAATTTCAGTCATGCTCACCGACACTCATTATTGATTCTTGGCTTGACACACGCCAAAGCTGCATTCTTGCACGTAACTGCAAGTAATTCCTACAGCTGAGTAGCTCCCACAACAGCCCCAGTTTACCAGCCACTGTTCCGTCAGGTAAAGCCTGCTGCTCGGGCGGCGACTGCTGCAAGGACGGCGGCGTCTGCAAGTGTGCCAACTGCAAGTGCTGCGCCGGGGCCGTCGACAAAGACGGCGGCGGCCCGGCAGCAGCCGCGGAACCGGGGGCCTCGGCCAAGCCGGCCGAGTAGGGCGCAGTCTGGGGCAGCGCCGCCCGGGCCGTCCCCTCTCCCCGGCGCGCGCCGCCCGTGTCGTGCAATGTGTGAGCGGCTGTTGTGAATATAACGTTACGATTTATAGGAACTGCTGATGAGCTTCTGCCGCCGCGGGAGGGTTGTTACAAGGAAAGGGAAACGAATCCGGCGATGAACCCACTCCTGTGCGGGCAGGGTTAGGCAAAACCCCAGCCATCAATCGTGCATTCTCTTATTCCAGAGATGGCAGCACTACGTATTGATGTGAGATGTGAACATCGCTGACATAAACGTAATTTGGGCAAACAGTTTTTTCTTAGCCAGAGCAGTAGCGAGCTTGCAGAGAGAAGCTCCGTTTGTTTCACCCTGCCAATATAACGAGAAGCAATCGGCAAGTGGAACCCGGAGGCGAATAAAAGGACGTTACATCGCCGACGCAACCAATTCTGGAAGTCTTTGACATTTAATTCCTCACTTGCGCAATGTTTGAATGACCAATAATTTATGCGTTGAGCAAAAGACCAGCTGAATACTTTAGAATCACTGATACGCGCAAACCATGAAAAGGTGTCAAAGCAACGGGCAGCAATGGCGGATTCCGACCAAAAGTTTTTACAAAGGCCAGACATCTATCATAACGTCGATGTCTTGGACAGCAAATCACCGTATTGTGACGGCCGTACGTTTTCAATGCAATGCATCCTAGTGGCGTTACGTGAAACACGCGCGTCACATCAGGGCGGGTCAAAATATTACTCAAAATCTACTTTTTGCAACGCCATCTTTGTTTTGCAACACGATTTCGGAAAAACAAGGACCACTAGCTGTCTAAAATCGACACGCCACTCTAAAGATGTTCAGTGCCCTGTGCCTAAATGCAGTTTTAATCATCCCAGGTCAGGTCAGGATTGCGTCACGACCGACAGCCGGCAGGTAACGTTACTTTGTCGACCCCGTTTCATGTGCACACCGCCACTTCGGGACGATGAATTACCTATGACTCCTGGCGTGTCATTGGGTCCAACTGATTTAATAGAAACAAAACTCGGATGATCCTCCAGTTCACTTAATAATGACGTCAAGAGTTCACATCTGATACAAATTGCTGCGGCACGGTTCCCAAGCTCGTTTAATAATCGTGGGCGCTCTATTGGGACCCGGGTGGGCTGACATCATTCATAGTTTGTACTAAGGTTTCATGATGGACAAAACCAAGCCTGGGCCACCTCAGGCCACGTCGGCGTGATGTCGCATGACAGACGCTGGAAGCTGTTTTCAGTTTTGGAGCCTGCTGCATGTGCCCATGCATGCTGATTACATCGTCATGTCATCCTGGGTCGAAATACCTTGCAACGAGACGCGGCGAGTACCTACCGCAAAATTCAAACGTACACAGGGAAAGGGCTTCATGAGCTTCTCACTAAAGTTGTTCCACAAAATGAGCTCACTGAGAATGAGACTACGCCTACATTATTCGAGTACATCACCTTGGAAGCTCAAAATAAATGGTTTACCAGTGGTTTATTTCATCAAAGTGGAGTTCGGGTACGTCTCAGCGCATCCCGTATGAAATGTCCAGTTGACACAATGTGAGTGCACAGTTCATGAAGCGCATGCAGGCTCACGAAGAGAAGCTGCAATATTCTGATATGACTTAACTTGGGGGAGTATAATGCGTAAGTCACAAGTGCAGATGTGATCGGAGGCAGTGCACAGCTAAAAACACAATTACCGGTGGGTAATTGTGCGCATGTGCAGCAGGCAGAATGTAAGCATGTATTTTCTGTTCTGATTTCAGTGCCTACAAACTGCGCTACAATTTGGTCGTGCCGCCGCGACAAGTGTAAAGGAATGCACACCATTAATGCGGGACGGTATGATCTAGGGCCATATGTCAACCTTTAAAGGGAATGTTCCACATTTGAAAAAGTAGAAGACTGTTCTGGACAACAAAACTCGTCTATTCAGTAAACATCCTTCTAGGTACGTCAATACTTGATAGCGTCATGGAGCGTTTGTATGATGTTAAAGTGCTGCCAAGATGGCAGTGCGAAATTGCAACCCTACCACTAACTCGCAGTACCTCAAACCCCCGAGAGGTGGACTTATCGGTGCTGGAGGTGTTAACTGAACCAAAGACCGCCTTATACTCGCGTTTTAACCCTTTCTCGTGGTATTCTTGCGCATATATCCGTGGGTTTAAGACATTTACTTCCACACACAAATCTTCAAGTTATTTGATCATGTCTTATTTCCATAATAGCTAGGAGCCATGCCCAACTATTTATATTATGTAACACAACACCTGATTCGTGATTTAAACTTGCACAGCCCGCTCAACATAGATTGAGAGCCAATCGACGTCCATTTGAACTGGAAATCGTGTTCACCTACGGCGGATATGAACGGCTCATCGATTATATTCTTCTTGGCCTTGAACGCCGCATGGTCAAGTGTGGGAGTATTTGAATGACGTTTATATGACGTCATGAACTGGATGTCTTGCGTGACGTCTATTGCGTTTTATCTCTGTATAACGTGCTTAAAATGCTCTACAGATCTTAACGGGCGTGTAGCTCAGAAACAACACGGTGCTAGGCCTTAAGAAGGGCAGGGCTGCGAGCTGCACCAAAGGATCTTAAAAATGACTATTGCAATTCAAAACATTAAAAAATGTATAAAAATTCCTTAAAAATCAGCACGATCGGTCGTTTCGCTGAAGTGGTATTCAGTAGGTTGTTCCCCAGTAGGGGTATGACTGAAGCAATACATAGTTAGTTACGAAAAGCACAGGAACTGATTTACCAACTGCTTAATTTGACAGCTTTTTAGTCACGTTAGGTATGCCAGCATACAGTACCAAACAGGTGTATATCGCATGGCTTTGGAGTGTATGTGTAGTGAATAATATCCAAGGCTGGCTGCGACACGGGACCACACAAATGATTACAATTTTAAAATCACAATAATCTTGACCAAGAAAAAATCAATGCTTGAAAAATTGTGATATCAAAGTTTTGCCTTCAATCTAACGCCAATAATGACTATTTGCAAGCCATGCTGCAAAAGGTCCATATCTTGACATTACGTTTCGACGACCCGCTTATTACACATTCAGAGAAGATGGCAGGCAACGTAAACAAAAACTTCGGACGGCCGACGAAATGTGGACCAGGCGTCCACGTGCCAAGAGGAGAGCATCTATGGAGCCTCGGGGCATGTTCAGCTATCTGTCCGTCTGCAGCAGCAACGAGCATCAATCGATGTGTTCAGACTTCAGCGCGAAGACAAACAGAGGCTGCGTAACAGCAGACGACCAAAGGCCTGCTGGCTCCAAACATCAATCACATGCACAAAACCCAAGCACCGATAGAAATACCGTGCATCAACCGATATTTCAGAGCAACTAAACGTCAATACCAGACGGCTGTCGCGGAAACGGGTCACCGCCCCCGCACAAACAGGACGCGATGAATATTTCAGCGGCATGCCGGGCGTAGGTAGGGGGCGGCAGGCATGGAGAGTATGCTGGATCACGACTAGCCGGCGGCGATGACGGGTCGGCCTGCAGTGACACGACCAGGCCACAAAACACAGCCCTCAACCCGTCAGAGCCGGGCTTCGCCGGCTGCACGGGACCGGCAGCCCGCCGGAGCTGCTGGGCGCCCACTCGGACGAGACCGACAGAGCCGCGGTTTTGGCGACTGACGGGACCGGCCGTGTACCGGAGATGGAGTACCAACGTCGTCACAGGGCGCAGATGGCCTCTGTCGGACTAGCACGTCGCCCATCACCACCGCGGCAGTTTGGCTGCATGGCGCCGGTGTCTGAGGGCAGCGGCTGGCGGCGGGCGCGCCGGCCGCAGGTCGATACCGACGCGCCGGTAGTCCCGCCGGCGCCCAGAGCCGGCCCGCCGGGCATTCCAGCCGGCCGCCGCCCTCCCGACCGCACGTGCCGGCGCGCTCCTCCGCCGTCCCCTGCTCAGCCCAGCGCAGCTCTCCCAGCCGCCGTCCGTCCATCCAGCATGTCTCAGGTGAGCGAGCGCGTGGAGGGAGGGCCAGCCGCCGGCGGCCGCGGCGAGCTACAACCAGCCGACGTCCGTCCGTCCAGCCATGTCTCAGGTGAGCGAACGCGTGGATGGAGGGCCAGAAGCCGGGCGACCGCGGCGAGCTGCACCAGCCGCCGTCCGTCCGTCCGTCCAGCATGTCTCAGGTGAGCGAGCGCGTGGAGGGAGGGCCAGCCGCCGGCGGCCGCGGCGAGCCACACCAGCCGACGTCCGTCCGTCCAGCATGTCTCAGGTGAGTGAACGCGTGGATGGAGGGCCAGAAGCCGGCGACCGCAGCGAGCTGCACCAGCCGCCGTCCGTCCGTCAAGCATGTCTCAGGTGAGCGAGCGCGTGGAGGGAGGGCCAGCCGCCGGCGGCCGCGGCGAGCTACACCAGCCGACGTCCGAGCCGCCGGCGGTCATCGCACAGCCGCTGCCAGGATTGCCCGACATGCCGATCAGTGTTTTAGTTGGCTTGGTTGGGCTCGGACGCTACTCGTCGCAGAGCTTCGCGAATAGTTTGGGACTTTGCAACACCGCAAAAATGGACGTCATTTAACCACAACAAAAGCGGAAACATTCGCCAACAGGTGGCATGGCAGTGTCTGCTGCAAATAATTTCGTTAGTTCACCGGAAGCAATTTCGGGCGGCGTTCTGCACCGTCGGCCGCAGCTTCCCAGCGCCGCCAGCCACCATGAGAACCCGCTGGAGCCTCAGCTGGCCGCGGGCCCCGGTTCTCGGTTCCCAGCCCCTCTGTCGGCGGCGACCGGCTCACGCCAACCGACCCGGGGCGTCGCCCAGACGGGGGTCACCGAGTGGCGAGGGAGCGCGACCTGGCACGATCGGCAGCCCGGCGCCGGCCAGACGTGGCGCGATCAATGGGGCGGTGTGGGCCGCTCTTACCCACCGTGTGACCCGGGGCCGCTGCTAGAGGGCACGACTTGGGACCGGTACCGGACGGAAGCCAGACAAGTGCAGTACGCGGGCGGGCAGCGGGAGAATGGCTTCCACGGGTCCAACAAGCTCTGCCCGGATGGTCGAGACCTGGCGTCCTGACCTGACCCGAGACCTGGCGTTGACGTCTGTCCGGACGTAACATGAATGGTGCCGATGTTCTTTTGAGGAACAGGAACACGTGCGTTCGCAGCGGCACCCAAGCGTCCACTGCGCTGGCTTAAACCTCAGCCAGCTTAGAGGAGATTTTGCTCTCTGTCTGACGTAGGATTCCATTGTCAGCAGAGTAATGTCGACACATTTCGAAGCCGTCGCTGTAACTCGGTAGAGCGTTGGATGTTGCGAACCAGTGTGCAGCAGACCTATGAAATCGCTGACAGACCTATGAGCACGCATGTGACAGACCTATGGGCACGCATGTGACAGGCCTATGGGACAGCGTGTGACAGGTCTATGGGACCGCGTGTAACAGGTCTTTGTGATGACATGTGACGGTTCTATGAAATGGCGTGTGACAGGCCTATGTGATCGCGTGTAGCTGGCCTATGGGATTGCGTGTGACATATCTATGGGATCGTGTGTAACAAGCCTTTCGGATCGCGTGTAACAGGCCTATGTGATGGCGTGTGACAGGCCTTTGGGATGGCGTGTGACAGGCCTATGTGATGGCGTGTGACAGATCTATGGGATGGCGTCCAAAGACCAAGGCTTATGGCCCGTAACTAACGACCCATTGGCAACCAGCAAAGAGTCAGAAACGGGCGCGACCGTGCCACGGCATTACAGGGCACATTGTAATGAGATAAACTGTTCAGGTGTGACGGGCCTGCGGGTATCACAATAACCTATTCCAAGGCATGGCTCAGATTCGAACACAATCGCTGGCGAAAAGTAGCGTGAAATACCAATACGAAAAATGCCACGGATCACTTGCGGAGGTCCTGCGGCGGTCCTGTCTTTGTGGTTATTCCTTACGTCAACCACATCAAACGCGGTGACGTTGGGGTGATCAGCTACCCACTCTGGATGCGACCACCCATCTCACGGGTGTGCCTCCCTCCGCCGTGTGCGGTGTGCCCCCTCCCCATCGCTGACCGACGGTGTCCGGTAACCACCCTCTCGAAGGTGTGTCTCCCGGCCCTGTAGCCGCTGGCCGACGGTGTCCGGTAACCGCCCTCTCGAAGGTATGTCTCCCGGCCCTGTGGCCGCTGGCCGGCGGTGTCCGGTAACCGCCCTCTCGAAGGTGTGTCTCCCGGCCCTGTGGCCGCTGGCCGGCGGTGTCGGTAACCACCCTCTCGGAGGTGTGTCTCCCGGCCCTGTGGCCGCTGGCCGGCGGTGTCCGGTAACCGCCCTCTCGAAGGTGTGTCTCCCGGCCCTGTGGCCGCTGGCCGGCGGTGTCGGTAACCACCCTCTCGGAGGTGTGTCTCCCGGCCCTGTGGCCGCTGGCCGGCGGTGTCCGGTAACCACCCTCTCGAAGGTGTGTCCCCCGGCCCTGTGGTCGCTGGCCGGGAGTGTCTGGTGATCACCCTCCCGAAGACGTCTCCCACCCCTGTGCGCGGTGTGACCCTCACCGCTGGCCGGCAGCGTCTGGTGACCACGCCCCCGGAGACGTCTCCCTCCCCTATGCGCATGTGACCTCTACTGGTGCTCGACAGTTCTGGTGACCACCCTCCCGGAGACGTCTTCTTCCCCTGTGCGCGGTGTGACCCTCACCGCTGGCCGGCAGTGCGCCCACTCTGCGGACGTGCAGCCGTGCCGCCGGCGGTATAGACGCCTCGGCGCGCCTGTCAGGGGTGCGGCCACCAGGACGAGAACTGGCTCTGTCTCCACTGCTATAAGGTGAGACGCCACGTGATCGGCCACGAGGCGCGCGGCGCGACTCCTGTCGCTGTCTGTGAACCATGCGCCTGCTCTGGAGTCACAAAGTGATATGAATTTGAGGTGGGCACACTATCAGGTGCTACAAGGTGGCTCAGTCGATAGCAGAGCCGACCCCGCACTAGGCTCTGTTTCCGCTCGGCTGGCGGTGACTGCGCTGAGGCATAGCTTAGGCTGTTGGCAATAAATACATAAATAAATTTTAAAAAAACGTGAAAATTCGCGTAACCTTTCTCATGCGCTTATACGACGGACAAAAGACGAGCTGACATCAGATATCGCGTGGGTTTGTGAAGGAATAGAAGTCTGTGCCATTTGAGCTAATCTGAACCTGGTCGAGTATATGGAGGGATGGCAGCACGCACCAAGACCTGTCGGCCGTGGCTGATCGATCGAAGCAAAGCGATAGAACAGTGAAAGCACAACGCCATGTTGCTAAAGACTTTCGCATCAGCGGTCGGTCCTCTACTTACACGGGACCTGCTTACCTCCTCGCCGTCCCCCCCCCCCCCATCCCGGGCCTAGCTGGGTGTACGGCCCGGGTCACGCTTCTGGTTGGCGAACCGATCCTGGTCCAGCACCTGGCCATTAAGTCACGGGTACGTGTATTGATCTGACGTCAAGGACGTTCGGTGGCAGGGGTGTGGGAAGGCGAGTGGGGGCCGCGCAGCTGGCTGTGGGCTGCGTTTCGGTCGGCTCCCAGGCCCCGTAGAATCCCTCAGGAGTCAGCACGTGTAGCGGAATGACGTTCGACTTTGGGGATTCGGGGACCGTGGCGGGGCGCCGCAGCGAAGCAGGTTTTCCGTCTTCCTCGCCCTCGACGGAGGGGGGGGGGGGGGGGGGGGAGGCGTGGACGCCGCCGCCGCCGCTGCTGCTGACGTGCCGAATGTGCCCCTCCGGCCTCAGACGCGGTGCTTGAGGCGCTCGATAGCGCACGGACGCGACAGGGCCACGTGACGCGACGCCAACCCACTCCCACACGTCCCACGACAGTCGTGTGCAGTGGCGAGCTTTGAGCTCGACATGCTGTGCGGCAGGTGCTGTGCAGCCGCTTCGCCAAGGAGCACATGATCAAGCACAGCACGGAGGCCAACCACCACGTGGTGCTCAGCCTGGCCGACCTCTCCACTTGGTGCTACGGCTGCGACTCGTACGTCGACAACGACAAGACGCAGGCGGCCAAGGACGCGGCGCACGCCAGCAAGTTCGGCAAGTAGACTCGGCGGCGGCTGGGGACCGTCGGCCGCGGCCCAAGCGCGCGGCGCGGGACCAAGGCGGCGCGACCAGGTCCTGCCTCCCCATCTGCTATTCGCTGCGCTGTTATTGCTTGCACTGACGTGTCAAGGATAAAAATTGCCTCGTGAGCCCGGCACTGCGGCTCGCTGGACTAGCTGCATGCGATGTGGCTGTGAATGTAAGGGAGGCATTTACGGATTGTCTGCTTGAGGAAACACGTGTTCCTCACGATGTTTGTGTCCGCCACCGAGATTCGACATACATGTGAAGAGATATCACCAAAATGCACTGGCTTTGAACAATACACACGATAACCAGCTGAAAGGAAAAGAACGTAAATCGTTTTTCACAACTAGCGGAAAGCGGAAACAAGGAAAGATGCATAAGAACCGGTTGAGGCGCATGTAAGAGAGGAAACGACCGGCATTCACCCTCGACGGGGAAAGCATTCTAGAACCCTCTAACGCATCTGCACACAATGTTCCCC